CTTCAGCAAATGTTACATCTCTTGAAATTATTATTTTTCTTCGTTCTTGATCATACAGTCGATACCCGTTTGGAGCATAACCAACAAAGATATATTTTCTGCATCTATCATCCAGTTTCTTCAGTGGTGTTAATGTTCTTGTGTAAGCGTTACAACCAAAATATGCAATTTTTGATAAATCTGGTTTTTGCGACATCCAGTTTTCAAACGGTGTTCCTTGAACTGCGTCGGTGGGACTTCTGTTTGTTAAATATGCAGCTGTGTGAATTGCTTCTCCCCAGAAACTTTTATCTATTCCTGCATCTATGAGTAAGGCTCTAGTTTTTTCAATTAATGTTCTGTTCATACGTTCCGCCTTTCCGTTAAGCTGTGGTGTATAGGGTGTTGTGACGTCCATGATTGTTCCTCTTTGTTTACACCAGGTTTTAAGGTCTTTGTTGACATACTCGCGTCCATTGTCACATCTTAATTTTGAAATTTTCAGGTTCCATTTTGTTTATACTTGATTTGCGTATTCCTTTACTAGGTCACATACTTCAAATTTTCCTTCAATAAGATAGACCATAACAAAGTTTGTAAAATCGTCTATAAAAGTTAACATATATTTCTTTTTATCCCAAGTGGAAGGGTCTATTGGTCCACATATATCTGTATGAATAATTTCTAGAGGTCTCTTTGCTCTTGTTCTTTTCTCACCGAAGGTATTCTAGTCTGTTTAGCTTTAACGCAAGTTTCACATACGTTATTTAAAATATCTAAGCTTTTATTTGTTATTTCCATACCTTTTGATATAGTTACTAATTTTTTTATATTTTCTTTTCCAAAATGTCCTAGTTTTTGATGCCATTCAAAAGCCTTTTTATTTTCTTGTGTTAGAAGAGCGCTGCCCTCAGGATCTTGACTTAAGTTTATAGTCCACAAACCATTTTTACTTCGATAGCCAACTAGTTTTACGTTATCTTTCCATATTTCGGCTTTTTCTTTAGTGAAAGTTACCTTTCCTCTATTTTCCGTAATTGCATTGACTGATAATAAGTTTTTGCTTAGATCTGTGACATAGAGAACCTTGTTAAGTACGCATTTGTTTGTTTCAACAATGCCGATTTCTTCAGCTTTCAAAACTTGTGACTTTTTTGCTGTTTTAATTTCTGACTTTACTTTTTGTATATTTTTAAACAAGTTCTTGTCATTTGTCATATGTGATGACGAGCCTGAGTTCAAAATCCATTCATCTGTTTTACAACCAGTGGCTAGAAATGATACTTTATCCTTTGTAGACACTCGATCATCTATTTTATTTTTACGAAAATAGCAATCTTTTTCAGAGTGATTATTTTTCTTGCATATATTGCACCTAATTGTACTTCTTGAACTATCTTTCTTTTTACAGAATTTTGCTATATGTCCTCGACCATTGCACTTGAAACAGCGTGTTTCTTGATTATTTTCTTTATTTGCCTTGCATGCTTTTGCTAGGTGTCCTGAGTTATTGCACTTATAACATTTTTTTTCAGTCGATTTGAACGCTACTCCATCCTGTTTCTCATCAGTTACAGACAGCCTATTTTCTTCAGAAAGTAGTCTTGATGTGAGGTTTGTAAGTGTTTTCTGATCTTGAACGGTGGAGTCCCAAGCACATGCAAAATATTTATAATTATCTGGCAGAGTTGCAAGTATTTTTGACATCAACATAGAATCGTCAATGTCTGCGTTTAGAATTTTTAACCTATATGCTAAATTTTCAAGTTTACTCACATGTGTAGCGATATCAGTTCCTTTCTGATATGTAAAATTGAAAAATTCCTGAAGTAGAATACATTTTTGCTGTTGTGTATCCCTTTCGTACATGGCACAGATTCTTTGAAACATTTCGTGAGACGTTTTGCATACGAGTATGTGAGTCAATGGTTGTCTTTCTATCGTTGTGATTATTATTTTCTGGGCACGTGCATCTTTCCGGATCCATTCTATTTTTGCTTGTTCTGTAATATCTTCCGTTAGTGCCGATATTCCTGTTACAATCTCATATAATCCGAGAGACTTGAACAAAATTATAACTTGAAATTTCCAAATCATGTAATTTTCACTGTCCTTCAACTTCTCTATATGTGTTACTTCGTCTTGACTATTCGACGTCATTTTTTTTTACTTTTTACTTTTTACCTTTTTTACTGATTTTACACCTCTGACATTCCTGGGCCCATAACCTGTTATATATTACTTTTTGTACTATAGCCAGAGGTTCTTGAAACACAATATCAATTCTCTGTAGTTAATATAAAGTTTATTGTGAAAAGACAATACGGAAGGATTCTTTTCGATTACAGTCTTAACTGAACAGAAGAAGCGCATTTTTATTAGTCACGCAATAGTAGCGCACGCACTCTACAGACACTGGCGCCAAACATAAAACAATTATTCTCTACATCAACGAATGCTGCTTCAATAGCGGCTTGAAGAGTTGCCACATTGGGGTGCCTGGACTTGTTAGACAATCTTTCAATAACGCCCCAAACATAATAATCTAGGGGGTTTAAATCCAAACTATTAGGAGGCCAGAATTCCTTGGACCAAAACGCATCCACGTTATCGTTAAGCCATTTTGCACTAAATGGTTTGTGTGAGCCGGTGCACCGTCTTGTTGAAAAATGTACGGCCTCCCGCATGCCGTAGTTTCCATCCATGGCTTTATTACAGTCCTCAAAATCCGGAGGTAAACCTCCTTCGTGATGGTTTCTCCCTTTTTAAAGAAATACGGCGGCATGACATCACCCTCATTAGAGACGACGCTTAAGACGTGAACATTGGCTGGAAACTTCGTCCTGCCTATTATGGGGACATCCTCGGGATCACGGGCGAGCCAACGGTCGTTCCTTCGACTCACTTTTGTCGATCTCGAGTACTTGAAGAACCGAATAATTTCGATCGGCGAACGTCCGGCGCGAAGCGCTTCAATTATCGCCGCTCTTCGATTGTATTCCGCACTTGATTTTATTGACTCGGACATTTTAAAGGTTATACACGTTTTACACAAACATTTGACTAACGCGAACATTAACAATCATTTGTTTCTAAATTCACACGTAGCAAAGAATTCTAATTTAATTTTGTCCGGATTTAGCTGACGTACCCTGTATATTTCTTTGTAATTAAAAGAATAAATAACGCGCGTGTAGCGCACGCTTATGTGTGTTTAGTTGTTTTAAAAAAGCTATGAGTATGAGAGCAACACAAATTTTTTTCAGAAAAATCGCACGAGAGATGGTTTCGAGTTGGATAATCAAGCGATATCTTCATTACGTACACATTTAACTGAGACCAAGGTAGTCGATTCCTCTTTGAAGAAAGAATTAAATAGGAAAAATAATACGATGAAAAGATCTTCGTCGGATTCAGACAGCAGGAATTACACTAATAAAATTAAGCAATCAAAGGTATCTTTATGTAATATGTTTACAATTTTTAAATTTCTTTTTAATATCGTTTATAATATTAAAAGAATTCATCAAAAATATAGTCATTGGTCACATTTTTAATTAGCAAAATATTTTCTGGCAATTTATATGCAACATTTGTAGAACAAAAGTTTTTTTGGTAATTACAATTAGGGAGCCACCTTTGATTTCAATAATTTTTACATATGTTACCAAGTCATTACCCTGAGTAATGTTGTGAAGGTTTTAGGCACTCGTTGTTTATTAAAAAGTTAACAAAATAAGTTTTTATTAACAAAATAAGTTTCATGAATTACACGTAATTTTCGGACACTATGTACATTTAATAGAACGTACTCTTAACAGATTTGTTTATTTGGGGAAGGGCAAACTGTACCACCATCTCGAAAAATCCCTAACCTAACTTAGGGGCCTATTCTGTAACTTTTAACGATGTTGTTATGGCTGCGTTCGGAAACACACACTGTGTGCACACCAACACACAATAATCGTTCGGAAACATGTTAGTGGTACTTAATGTGCATTCGGGTGAATCGTTCGAAAACGTTGAACGAGTACCACCAGTGTGCCACGAAACCACTCGCCGAAAACGCTATATGTATCATTGTGCAGCTATTACACGATACAAAAAACCTGCGCAGTGATACATAGCGACATCGTTAAAAGTTGAATAGGGGGGCTTATCTCTACTCCGAGACAAAGCTGCCAGTTTTCCCCGGAGAGCTCCACACGCACACAACCGAGACCCGCTGACGTCACGTGTCCGTGTGCGCTCGGCTGTCGACTGATAGAAGTGAGCGGACCTATGTCTCCTTCCCACCAAGCCTAGCATCAAACCGGTTTTGACGCTCGCACCATTTCTTCTGCCAAGCGTTGGCAGCAAAATGCTTTCCTGAATTTCGCTCCACGCGACTAAGTCGACTAGCGGCGTGTTGCTTTCGCTCGACGCGATATTTTTTCTGAGATTTACAGTCTTTTATGAAATATATATCATATTCATATTAATAAAATATTTTAACATTATGTATTTGCAGAATATGATTTTTCACGTTAATGTATAAAATAAGAATAAAGTAATAAAAATTATATATTGCAATATATAAACAAAACAAGTAACATTTCTACAATTTTAGTAGAAAAACATTTTTCCTATTAAAACATATTAACATGAGTTAATTGCGATAAAAATAAGCTGTAAACATATTTAATATATTATTAATTTATTTATATTATCCAATTTTACAAATTAACGTAAAAAATCACATTATAAATGCATAATATCTTTTGTAAATAGCAAGATACATTGAGAAGTAAAGGAAAAAATTGATTGAAAATAAAAGAAACATGTTTTTACTTAAAAAATATTTATGACTATCTTATTTAACACAAAAGTAATCTGGACAAAGCATACCAATGTAATTATACATCGGATAGTTTAGTATTTTAATTTTATTTTAACCATTTTAATATAGTGGTCTTCCGCACCACCCAAGAGGTGGATCTTCGCAGGAACCCTATTGTACCACTTTTCATTTTTCTTTATACATTACCTTTATATAGATATGGTGTCGTTTGCAGACAAGATACTTATTGTACACTTGTCGGTCATAAATGTGGTGTCATTTGCAGACAAAATACTTGTTACATGCCTGTCGTTTATAAGTGAGGTGTCCTTTGTGGACATATTAATGAAATTTTATTTATCTTAATTAAAAATGATAAGGGTCAACAAATAATAAAATTATAAAAGGAAAGGAGCAATAGGAATCAAAACGCTAGATTTTAGTGCGAACGAACTTGTATTGAGTTATAATAACATCAATATAAACAGACATTTTATAGCCTGTCATCAGGCTATCCTTAGTGTGGAATAAATAAAATACATATGAAAACGCACGCTGATTTACATTAAGATCTGAGTTAAAACAAAAATAATTTAGACGCAAGATTTGTTGTAAAATTAATAAAAAAAGTTAGTTTTAACATTGATATAATTAATGTTAGCTCGTCGGTTTTACAAATAAAAGATAGAAAAAAAATTAAAAATTGAAAATTTGTCAAAAATTTTATAAAAAAAGTTAATTAAAATAAAATAAAATAATAAAATTAATTAAAATTATTCAATATTCGAGATCAACAAGTTAAAGAAAAGTTAGTCAATAAAAAAATAATAAAATAAAATAAAATGAAATTTACAAAATTTATGTTAAGATAAATAATAGTTTTTTATTATTGTATGACCTCTTCCCCGACTGCCTCTTCTGTCCCTCCGGCCACCTCTGTTGTTTTGGCCTCCTCTTCTTCTTGTTATTCCAGAAGAACCTGGTCTAACATGATTGTCATATTGTAAATTTCGCCAAGCGTACCACCGTGCACGCGACCAACCACCTCCTCTTCTTTTTTTTCTAAAAATAAACACATTTATAGATTAATAATTTAAAACAATTATGCATATGAATAAATCATTTAGTTACAAAAAATAAATAAATATCAATATATATGAAAGAGGCTAATGGAGCCACCGTTGGTTGTTAGTGCGAAATTTTTTATGTTTTGTATGGAAACTTGATTCGTCTGCATTGAGACATTAAAATGTACACTGATCTCAGATTCGAGATACTAAAGTGTACGAGAATTGCATACATCGATCTTATTATTCAAGAATCGGAATGTATGATTAAAGTAAGCAAGTTATTTGAAAGGAAGGAAAACGGGAGAAAAAATATAAGAGATAAAAAAATTCGCACTAACAACCAGCGGTGGCTCCATTAGCCTCTTTCATATATATTGATATTTATTTATTTTTTTGTAACTAAATAATTTATTTATATGCATAATTGTTTTAAATTATTAATCTATAAATGTGTTTATTTTTAGAAAAAAAAAGAAGTGGAAGTGGTTGGTCGCGTGCACGGTGGTACACTCGGCGAAATTTACAATATGACAATCATGTTAGACCAGGTTCTTCTGGAATAACAAGAAGAAGAGGAAGCCAAAACAACAGAGGTGGCCGGAGGAACAGAAGAGGCAGTCGGGGAAGAGGTCATACAATAATAAAAAACTATTATTTATCTTAACATAAATTTTGTAAATTTCATTTTATTTTATTTTATTATTTTTTTATTGACTAACTTTTCTTTAACTTGTTGATCTCGAGTATTGAATGATTTTAATTTATTTTATTATTTTATTTTATTTTAATTAACTTTTTTTATAAAATTTTTGACAAATTTTCAATTTTTAATTTTTTTCTATCTTTTATTTGTAAAACTTTTATTTGTAAAACCGACGAGCTAACATTAATTATATCAATGTTAAAACTAACTTTTTTTATTAATTTTACAACAAATCTTGCGTCTAAATTATATTTGTTTTAACTCAGATCTTAATGTAAATCAGCGTGCGTTTTCATATGTATTTTATTTATTCCACACTAAGGATAGCCTGATGACAGGCTATGAAATGTCTGTTTATACTGATGTTATTATAACTCAATACAAGTTCGTTCGCACTAAAATCTAGCGTTTTGATTCCTATTGCTCCTTTCCTTTTATAATTTTATTATTTATTGACCCTTATCATTTTTAATTAAGATAAATAAAATTTCATTAATATGTCCACAAAGGACACCACACTTATAAACGACAGGCATGTAACAAGTATTTTGTCTGCAAATGACACACTTGTAAACGATATGTAACAAGTATCTTGTCTACAAATGACACCACATTTATGACCGACAAGTGTATGATAAGTATCTTGTCTGCAAACGACACCATATCTATATAAAGGTAATTTATAAAGAAAAATGAAAAGTGGTACAATAAGGTTCCTGGCGAAGATCCACCTCTTGGGTGGTGCGGAAGACCACTATATTAAAATGGTTAAAATAAAATTAAAATACTAAACTATCCGATGTATAATCACATTGGTATGCTTTGTCCAGATTACTTTTGTGTTAAATAAGATAGTCATAAATATTTTTTAAGTAAAAACATGTTTCTTTTATTTTCAATCAATTTTTTCCTTTACTTCTCAATGTATCTTGCTATTTACAAAAGATATTATGCATTTATAATGTGATTTTTCACGTTAATGTGTAAAATTGGATAATATAAATAAATTAATAATATATTAAATATGTTTACAGCTTATTTTTATCGCAATTAACTCATGTTAATATGTTTTAATAGGAAAAATGTTTTTCTACTAAAATTGTAGAAATGTTACTTGTTTTGTTTATATATTGCAATATATAATTTTTATTACTTTATTCTTATTTTATACATTAACGTGAAAAATCATATTCTGCAAATACATAATGTTAAAATATTTTATTAATATGAATATGATATATATTTCATAAAAGACTGTAAATCTCAGAAAAAATATCGCGTCGAGCGAAAGCAACACGCCGCTAGTCGACTTAGTCGCGTGGAGCAAAATTCGGGAAAGCATTTTTGCTGCCAACGCTTGGCAGAAGAAATGGTGCGAGCGTCAAAACCGGTTTGATGCTAGGCTTGGTGGGAAGGAGAGACATAGGTCCGCTCACTTCTACCAGTCGACAGCCGAGCACACACGGACACGTGACGTCAGCGGGTCTCGGTTGTGTGCGTGTGGAGCTCTCCGGGGAAAACTGGCAGCTCTGCTCCGAGATGTGTAAGTATTGCATTAGATTAGAGTTTTTTTGGGGTGGGAGTGAAGAAGTAGGGGCAAAGCTCCTTTCTCGCTTACGCTTTCAATTTACTACACGTAAATAAATGTAAATGCATTGTGAAAATGTTCTGAATATCGAAATAAACAATTACGTGTACGTATTATTTTTTGGCATCGAAGACATACAATTTCTCGTATCACTTGTATTTCGTATAAATAGTTAATGAATAATCTTCATTACTGTATATCAAATGAAGAAATTCATGTAACAACACGTTGTAGAAAATGAATTCGCAACAGAAACTGTGTGTCTGACAATATTTCTACAGCATAAGAGGAAAATATTTCCCACACAGCACACATATCCAAAAGATATCCAGAAGACATTCTGAAGATATCTTCGGAATGTCCCCCGAACGTCCCCCGGATACATGCTGTGTGGATTGCTACATGACAACAGTATAACAACTTTTTTTGGAAATTCCTAAGTTGGAGCAATACAAGGAACTAATTCTGTACCTCTTATTGATGAATAAGTCCTTATTGGCATCTGAAAATTACGTGTCTACGTGGTGTCAGAAAATTACGTTGTAGGTATTCAATAAACTTATTTTGTTAATAACTTTTTAATAAACAACGAGTGTCGACTAAAACCTTCACAACATTAGGATAATAATTTTGATAACATATATATATAAATTATTGAAATCGGAAGTGGCTTTCTAATTATAAATAATTACTTTTTTTATATACGTATAATAAAAATATTAGAATTACACATTTTTTCTTTCTTTGCCACGAAAAAATAATCTGCTAATCTGAGAATGTGGTTTGTGACTTTTGACCAAAAGATTCCTTCAATTGTTGCCAATATTACACAGGTAAAGGACAGCGATGTCATAGAAAGCAATAACGCGCAAAATCTTGAAGAGTTAGATAATTTCTTAGGCGATCACTATCAAGAAATAGAAATTGATGATACTTACAAAAGTAACGAAACAAGGGATCATCACTACTCCGAGTCAGTAATTCTTTAATTAATACTGATCAATATTTTTATTCTGTTTTCATTTCTTTCTTAGATTCTAATCGAATGCTTAATCGACAATTTTCCAATATTCTAGAAAGAGAGGAGGAACTATGCCATTTAACAATAAATACGAGAATATAGGTATCACGAAACGACTGAAAGACGAGTCGGCGGTAAGAACTCAAAAAGAAAATGCATTCTCTATTTTCATGAATAATACAGAAACATGGTCAGCAATGACTGATGGGCGCGATGCGATCAAGAATGACGAAATATTTAATTTTCATACATTCTGGAAAGGTGAAGAAAATGCTAGAGGCATCAGAGAGGCTCGAGGTATATCGCATTACAAAATTGACTGTACTGTTCTTTTACATCCTCTAAATTTCTCGCTGGCGTTAAATAATAACTTAACTGTATTTTGAGAATACTGATCTTATAATTGATTGATAAAATTGCGTGATGTATTAAAAACTAAAAGAAACAATTATTATTAAACATAGCTGAAATAATGCTGAAGTACATGGATAAGAGTGTGGATCCATGTCAAGATTTTTATCAATACGCTTGTGGTAACTGGGCAAAACATAATCCAATTCCAAAAGACAAAGCTGGCTATGATACTTTTGAAATGCTCAGAGAATCGCTAGATTTTGTATTAAAAGAATTACTAGAGGATCCCATATCGCATGATGTTGAATTTGACGCTGAAGATGCTACAATAAAAGCAAAATATCTGTTTCAAAGCTGCATGAACTACGGTAGGCAAACACAGAAAAATATTTTATACCGAATTAATATTCGTACAAGTCTGCTAACGCGACAAGAATGTGGCTAGAGATCTTGGAGCAACGTATGGAACGGCCGCTTATTCTGCTCTTGGATCAACTTGGCGGTTGGCCGATTCTAAAACCGGATTGGGAGTCCGATAAATTTGACTGGCTTCACTTGACCGCGCAACTTCGACTGTACAATAACGATATATTAATCTCAGAATGGGTGGGACCAGATATTAAAAACAGCGACAAGTACGTGATACAGGTAACAGTAGCTTGTCACTTGTCACATCGTGAAGAAATTTATTAGAAAGAGACTAATCAAAATATTTGGATTGTAGTTCGATCAAACATCGCTCGGGCTTCCTACAAGAGATTATTTCCTTCAACCAACTAACGCGATTTATCTAGAAGCCTACAAGGATTATTTAATAAAGATTGCAACTTTACTTGGTGCATCCTTAGATAATGCAACCATACATGCTGAAGAACTGATTGAATTCGAGACACAACTCGCAACGGTATGTTTGCACATAAATATCGCGATTCATCGCTTATACATCGACATCGTTCTTTAGCTTTTCGAGTCGGTAGTTATTGATTCTTAGTTTTTGCCAGATTACATTGTCACCCGACGAAAGACGAAATTTTTCGGAGCTCTATCAACGAATGAATGTAGGTGAACTGATAACACTCGTGCCGCAAATTGATTGGCACCGTTATTTGTCGATCGTCTTGGCACGGACAATAAATGTTTCTGAACCAGTTATCATCTTTGCATTGCAATACATCCAAGATTTGGTTATTTTACTTTCAAAGACACAACCGAGGTATACTGTATCTTTTATATATCTTGTAACTTTTTTTTCTCTATATAAAGTGGGGTAAAAATTATAGTATAAGTTGAAATAGTGATTTCTTGTAATAATTTTTCTTGTAACTTAATTTTTTAAAGAAATTGATTTTAAAAGTTAGAACATTAATAATGATTGTTATACAACTAATTATAATTAATCTTCTGAGTGCCATGGACAAATATTGTAAGTATATGTGTTCGGCGAAAGTAACTGTCCACATACATGTGTAACAAATTTTTTCGATTTATATTCTTGATAAATAAAAATTATAACTATAAAATAATAAAAATTGCATGTTATCTGTATTGAACGTTTAGCTTCAGAGCGCTCCGCACTCAAAAGATTAATATTAATAGTACGATAACTATGTGGATATAACTATGTAGATTTTTATCACTCTACATAAAAGTATGTGCACAGAAAAAAACATTTTAATGTAAAAAATGTGACAAATTTTGAAATTTTTTAATTCTGACTTTTGATAGCTTTTTCTATTCCTAGCTGCAGTTTTTTTTTTTTTTTTATTGTATTATTAATTTTAAATATTCCTTTCACGGCAAAAATTTGAATTTTAACTGATATTCGCTAAAGATAAATGTACACTCAAAAAAAAAATTTTTTTAATCTAAAAAAATAAATCGAACAAACGTGTTGTATTTTGCATGTACATAAAGTTACAAACAATTTGTTGTTTTTGCAGAACAGTAGCAAATTATCTTCTATGGAGGTTTGTACGGCATAGAGTGAACAATTTAGATGATCGTTTTCAGGAAGTCAAGCAAAAATTTTACTACATTTTGTTCGGTAGAGAACAAGCACCAGTAAGATGGAAAAACTGCGTAAATCAAGTTAATTCTAATATGGGTATGGCGGTTGGCTCAATGTTTGTTAAAAAGTATTTCGATGAGAATAGTAAAAACGATGTGAGTATTTCCTGCAAGTATTGCGATTTGTTATCACGGCTAACGTTAAAGAGAAAATGAATATATACACTTTCTTTTATGAAATACATTTTGTTTGTCGACAGACATTATCGATGACTCGAGAGATACAGCGATCCTTTAGAGAACTGTTTAACAAAACTAATTGGATCGACGACGAAACAAAACGTTTGGCAACGGAAAAAGTAAACGCTATGTCATTGAGAATCGGTTATCCAGATTTTATCTTACAGCCACATCTATTAAACGAGCGTTACAAAAATGTAATACACCTTTATATCAAATATATATCAAAATACACATTCTATATTGTATAATAGTACACAGCCGAGCATAATAATGGAGAGGATATATTAACATCATTAACACAGGTAGTAATTCGATCAGACAAATACTTTGAAAACACTTTAAATATCTTGCAACATTTAACCAGAATTGAACAAGATCGTCTTGGCAATACTGTCAACAAAACTTTGTGGAACACAGCTCCAGCAGTCGTGAATGCTTACTACAGTCGCAACAAAAATCAGATAAGTCAGTTCAGTGTAACGCACAATTGCATTTTTTATTTGGTCTCACAACTTGGCAAAAATCTTTCATGCACGCGTGCATTAAAAATTAATTTTCATAAAATATTTAAACTTTTATTTTGCCCCTTTAGTGTTTCCCGCAGGGATACTACAGCCTCCCTTTTATCATCGATTTTTCCCACGAAGTTTAAATTATGGCGGAATTGGCGTCGTAATCGGACACGAGATTACTCATGGATTTGATGATAAAGGTAGATTGTTTGATAAGAGTGGAAATCTCCATAGATGGTGGAAAGATGAGGCAATTGATGGCTTTCACCGACGAGCGCAATGTCTCATTGGTATGGAAAAATGACAATATTGTATCGTATTATGTTTCAGTTTTATAGTCAACTTTTTTTTCGCAGATCAATATGCACGCTATACCGTGACGGAAGTTGGAATGCAGATAGATGGCATTAATACACAAGGGGAAAATATTGCTGATAATGGTGGCATTAAGCAAGCGTTTCGAGTAATTTCACAAGTTTTTCTTTCAACTTTAATGAAAGAAAAGTTCAAGTCAAATTGATTAGTTTGTATTTTATAGGCATATGAGAAATGGTTACGTTCCAATGAAAGAGAAGACGAGACCTTACCCGGAATGAGCGCGACGGGTAAACAATTATTCTTCTTGAACTTTGCCCAAGTGTGGTGCGGTTCAATGCGTCCTGAAGCAACTAGAAATAAACTGAAAACAGCTGTACATTCACCTGGTAAGTTTCGAGTGATCGGTACACTCTCCAATTCGAAAGATTTTGCTCAAGTATTCAACTGTCCTCTTGGTTCTCCTATGAATCCTGTGAGCAAATGCTCTGTATGGTAACACATGTAACTCAATTCGTATACGTACCGACACGATTTGTCCTCTCATCATGACACTTTATTTCTAATAAAACACAACTTATTCGAGTTCTTTAATATATATTTTACATAAGATTTCTAGCAATTCATAAATATAAAGCAGCAGTTCCTAAATGTATGAAATACCGATTTAACGCGTTTGTGCACACTTTTTGTATGCTATTTGCAAATATATGTAACTTAAAGACTATAGACACACTTGGGAAATAAATTTATAAAACGTATCATTGTTTGCAGATTATTGGATTAAGTAAATTATAATAAATATGAGGAGTAATTTCAATCGTAAAAATTGTTACAGATTGTTTTTCAGTGTGTTTACAAATTCTGAAATCTCTATCTTTTTAAATTTAATTTTGATTAATTTTACAAATTTATTAAATACTGAAATTATACTTTGCTTATTATTCTTTAATTTATTTAGTTGCAAATGCCATATTCGGTTAATACCGCGACAAAAACTACCTAGTATTTAACAAACATTTAAAAGAAATTTTCAATCTTTATTTTATGCACGCGCGCGCGCATGTGTGTGTGCGTGTGTGTTTTGCGTAGACGTAAATTTATACATATAATTAGGATTTCCTAATTAATATATCACACAATTCTAATTTTACAATTTATTTTGTATTATACTATCGACAATATTATTCAGTAAAAAATAAAATTCAAAGAAAAAACAAAGGCTACATCAAATTTAAAAATTGTTCAATAGGATGGTATGAATAATTTATATTTTTTACCTTAAATATAATTTACATTTTTTACTTGTTTGTTTACCTCTATTCTCAATACCGTGTATAAAGTCTTGTTTAATTGCTATTTTATTATCTTATTGTTTTTCTTAAAAAAGAATGTAAACGCGCGTTACTTCAACACAATTGGAAAATAATGTAGGTTGTGCTAACATTCTTAAATAAACTTTAATCATCACAATGACCTTTTATGGTCTTAATTTTATTTTGTATAGCCATTATAAATCATAATTATGAAATTTTTAATTTTTTACTTTCTATGATATTTTATCAAAACTGGCCTATTAAATATATAAATATATGTTTCACGTGTGCTACTTCCATCCAACTAATAAGTCAGTGGAAATATATCTTGACCACTTGTTTGACTCATATTATCATCATTATGTATACGTTAACAAGATTCTCACTTATGTAGAAACTGGTACTCCAAAATGTCTTCCTCATCTGTAGAAAAAAAATCACTTCTTATAACGCAGAGTTAATGAAACATACAGCAAACATAATCAAGTTTCGATACTATGCATATTTATGTGTGTATACGTGTATATAGTTGCAAAATAGATTTATACTATATACAGCAAGCGAAAGGCATTCCGTATTAAAACTCATAACATTGCAAAAATTGTCCGCCATATTATATTCTACTTATTGAAAATATATTGTGGAATTTTATTTTTAGCTTAGTATGTACAATGATCGATTTGACATAGATTGAATGTATAGAAAACAGAATTTGGAAAATATAATAAATGATGTGCGTTACACAGGTTATGATAATAAAATAATAAAAATACACTCACAGATATCGTCTCTGCTATTGTTGTCCAAATCACTAGTTTGTGTGTGACTTTCTTCGTGCATACGCCGTCCTGCATCAACCGTTAGTGCAGCACAAGGCACAAAAATGACTCGATTACATATCTGAGATGGTGTAATGTATATAGCAGCAATATAATATTCAAAAATGTACGATATTAACAAGTTTTTAACTTCTCAAAACAAAAAACGGATACAAATAAAACAAAAGAAAATTAAAAAACTTAATCGACAGATAATGAGATTTCAAACTTGTGCTGACTCTTTGCCTATTTATATTATTGTTACAGCAAATTTAAAAAATGCAAAATTTTTTAATTTTTAAATGTATTGCACAACTTATCTGTAACACAAGATATGTTATATGAGATTTAGATTAAGCGATATAGTTGATTTGTGATGTCAGTAAGTGTGCTATATACAATACTTGTACATTTCGTATTATAAATATTCAATACAATTATATGTAAGAATATAACTCCATTAACATTGAAAATACCTCGTATGCAATTTTCCGCAAATTTACAGTAAATTGACAAAAACAAATTGTTTCATCAAAAGTTAGAGTTGATTTGTGAATCAATTTTATCAAATTCTATTACATTCTGGTTATAAAATTATCAAGTCAATACAATTGTTTACGTAAATAAGATATAAGACAAATATATATTTACTATTAGTTCAAAAAATGCATAACGTTCACGTTGAAAATATAGCTCCATGAATAATAAATAAAATATAACCTGAGATAATGAAATAAGTTTTTTTGTCAAAATCTCTAACCTATGTTTATTTATTTTTTGTTGAAAAAAAGACATTTGATTCGAATATTTTTATGCATAAATTATTCACAAATATATAAATGAAGCTATATTTGGTTATTACTGCTTTCAAATGCTGCAAGATGATAAAATGTTTAAACACATTGCAACTATTATTTATTTTCATACTTTATATGAGTAATCATGAACAATTTATATATAACAGACAAAATTAAAAATTACTTCTTGCCATTATTGCTGATACTGGGAAGAAAAACTAAAACAGATTTTAATATGTACAGAGTTATTCCTCAGATTCAAAGTGCCTTTCTTAGACGGTAAAATAAACATAAATTAAGAATAATTATTATAAATATAAATTAAGAATAACCTCTTTGTTAATATAAACTATCAAGTAGAACATGAAAAAAATATTTTTGTTTCATAGTAAAATGCAGTATAAATAAAATTGAGACATAATATAATGGCAAGATACAAGTGAAAAGGAGGGTGTCTTATATATATA